AAACCTTGCTGGATTGATTCTGCATGGTCTCCTGGAGTTCCTTGGGCTAGGCCTGACATGAACCCTTCCCACGAATGTACCACTAGATCAGGTACCAAAATGGCAATTTTGAGTGGTACAATCTTTTGCTCCTTTTTCACAATAAGGCTTAAAATTGGTGTGTTAAGGTTATTTTGATCTTAATATTGACTACTGCTTAATATTCCATATTTGTCTGAAAGGACCTGTGTATCCTGCATGCATAGGATGTGTAATAAGAATAAGATATTCACACTGAACCTGAATATGTGACAAGACTGACATGCACTTTTAATCAGCTTGTCCATTCATGTATCTCTTACCTAAAGACTTTGATCTCCAAATTAAACTATTGAATTCAAGCTCACCTCATGTCACAATCTTTTCAGTATCATATGTTCATATACCCCCAGAAGTCATTTGTACCTGACTGAGAGGTAAATGATTACTCCAATTAAAGCCACCAGAAGAACCGCACACAATGTAGATATTCCTATGAGGATGGCCATATAACCTGAGAAGAGATTTCAAAATTATCATCCTGCTCCTGGAAAAAGCTTTTTTTGTGTGTGGAAACAGCTTCCATGGAGCAACAGTGTGTTTATGATAATCTTAGGAAACAAAACATGCATCTGTGAGAACTGTTTCATTCATATAAATCATCACTTCGTTGTAATTAATGTAATAACATTTTGGTAGCAGGATTTACAAAATGTAATAACATTTTGGTAGGATTCTTTTGGAAAGCTTAGAATGACTGAGTCACTTGCTTCAGCATTGCTAAACTTCAGCTCTGGTGCTGGGTATGCCCAGAGAATTTATTTGGTTCTTTTGACTCAGGCTGTCCAACTCAGTAAATAGCGAATACCTCTTTGAAGTTCTTCACAATATATGTTAGATGTTGCGACAGAGATGTTCTACAAAGGCACTTGAAATGGTTTAGTTGAAAACAGGGGTGTCCGCAGAAGCTTGCTGCTTTCATCAGAAAGATAAAAGCAGTGTTATTGCACTGCAAGCATGGACACTCTTTTGTACATGAATGTGACATCACAATGCACATACAAAAGGAGTGGGGCTTGTGTTGCAAACCTGTCACCTCTCTTGTGTCATTGTCCCCCTACACCCAAATGGCAGTTTTCAGTGTGGATCTAGTCGAGAAATGTTCCTATATGTATGTCTGTATGGGATACTTCTTATATTTTCTCAAAGAATGGAGGTATGTATTTCTGGGAGTTTCTGATACAATTTATGTTATAGATTCTCTACTGTACTTTTCTTCCTAGAAATGGTTTCCAGTTTTTAATAAAATATTCACATCGTAATACATACTGTCCTGACAGTCTTCTCCGGAAAATCCAATGGTACACCTAAAAGCAAACAAAGTTTCATCATGAGTGATTAACCAAAATTTACCAATTATATACCGAGAACATATCTTATGTAACTTAGAAACACAAGGTCTTTCTATATCTTAGATGAGCTTCTTTCTTTTCTTATGATGCACATTTCTGCCATCACAGGCTGAACTGGCACCTCACCTCTCTCTCTGCAGCTAATGTCTGCTCGGGAAGAGCTAGCAGGGCATGAATCATCCCGTGCCATCCTGTCATTTTGGCACAGCAGCCAAACACTGGTCAGCACGAGTGGCAGCACACAGCCAACCTTGCTTGTTCTTAGAAAACAAAGAGGCCTAAATCTCTCCCACACTAGAATGAGAGACCATCAGGGCATCCCAGGGCTACAAAGGAGGTCGGGGGGGGGGAAGGGCAATGACAAACTGCTTCCATTTTGTTTCCAAGAAAACAACATGGGCAGGTCCATCCATTCACCAGGAATCAAGATCCATTTGAGGAAGATGACATCTTAATCAAATACTTACGCCTGGCATTCTTTATCACTTTTCTGGAAATTAGGCAGACACTGGCATTCAGGGACATGGTCTGCTTTCATGAGACAGAATTTATTGTTTGTGGCAGAACAGTCACCATCGCATGCTGTACTCAGAAAGGGGAACAGATAATAATTAGTATTAGCAAAGCATTGACTGAAGGTTACAGTTTATGTAAGGACTAAACGATGCAATGGCAGTCCAGTGGCTCCTTTAAACAAGAAGGACTGACTCTCGGGAGCAGTTAGAAGGAAAGCTGCAAATACAGTTTCTTGCTTATTGGCTGCTGTTTTCCACTGCAGCCTGTTGGGGCTTTTCTTCTTCTCCCAACCACTTCCTTCTTCTGAACCACCCAGTCATAGGATATCTGGTGCTGCTTTTTCTTTTTCTGTAGAGGAGCTGGTTGGCTTATGAACATAAGCAATGACTTATGTCCATTGCTATTCTATTCACATACACTTTTAAGGGAAGAAAGAATATCAAAAAGTTTAGGTAGAGCTGCTGCTTAAGGCTATGGGAGATGATATAGGCCATGGTTTGTCAACCTGTGGGACACCAGATGTTGCTGAACCACAGTGCCCAGCATCTGTAATCATGAGCCATATGTTTCTAGGGCTGCTGGAAGCTGAAAGTAACAGCTGGAGCACCACACAATTGCTGCCCTTGCAGAAGTACATAATTCATGGCATTTGATGAAGAGTCACATTCATGTCATTATTTATCTCCCTTGCGGATGCCCCTGGTGTCATATGCCCTAAAATGCAGGGGAAAGGTAAAGAAATGTCCTGTTATTTTAAGGTGAATGGATTGCATGGACCAATTAATTCTAATTCTATTTTATTCAATAAACCATACATGTCCAAGTGTCCCATCAAGTGAAGTTAGGCGGAGAGCTACATGGGAGATGCCTTCTCAACTTTGGGGCCATGTTCATGCAATTCCCTTCCCATGAAGGCCCACCAACCATCTACTTTGATATAATTTCATTGTCTAGCCAAGGCAGTTCTCCTCTGCTAAGCCTTTTTTATAGGTATGTACCATATTTACCCCACAGGAAGAAGAGGATTTTCCCCACAGATGAATTACCTGTGAATAACTGAGAGTTCTGCTTATGTTCATTAATATGAACAGAATAAGCTGAAACATGGATGTCTCTGAAGACTGCTCTTTGCTTGGGTGTGCTTCATGTTGGCTGAATTTAATCTTTCCTGTGACTTGTAAACAGACTTCTCTTTCTTCTCATTTTTCCCTGTCCAGTTACTTCTTTCTTCACCTCCAGCAGTACACATACAACCAAGACTTTGGTCTTTAGTCTTTAAAAAACCCAAATCTGGCCATAGTCTGCTGCTGGGAAGATGAGTGTGTGCCCTTGGAGGACACATTGCCCAAGTGAACTGAATGGAGATTCCCTGAAGATATCTCTACATCAAATTGTTTCCTAAATTAGAACTTTTTTCTGTTAGATGTATTTCTTGGAACTTAATGTTAAATGCACTTTTTCAAAAACATTTACCAGAAATAAGAAATACTGGGTTCTGTAGGGAGTATAGATAAACAACTCCCAATCTCCCAGAGTTACAGTGGGAAGCTCAGAAATTTGGGATCCCTGTTGTGACTCTCAGAGTTTTATGACTGGCTACTCTGGCCACACCAATAATTTTTCTGACATGCACAAATGCACACACACACAGTGATTTAGTGATTGGTGCCATCTCACTTTTAAAAAATGTCAGATATGCCCTCTGGCCACAAAAGGTTGTAGAACCCCAAAACCAGATTCAATCAGCAACTCCAGTTTGCGCTAGACAGTGAAGCACAGAATTGGCTTAGAAAATTGTCTTAAAATCCTTACCTTGACAAGCTCTGTCTTCTTGGTTTAACTTGACCAGGCCTGTTTTACAATTACATTTTGGAATACCGCCATCGACGTTTATGCAGTCTGTAGTGTTTTTATCACAGATGTCAAGAGCACATGCTGATATAGCTAATAAAAAGTAGAATGGCATGGGTAAGTAGCTGAAGAGAAAGCAATACCACTCTCAGTAGTAAAGATCCAAGGACTTCTCAGTGGTACAGCCCATGATTTTGCATGGAGAAGGTCCCAGGTTCAGTCACTGGCATCTCAGGTAGGGCTGGAAAAACTATAAAATCCTAGGAAATCGGTACCAGTTAGTGTTACTGGGTTATGCTGAATCTGGGTTCAGTTTCTAATGACACAAGGGGAGATTTTTGGAAGGAATGTGTTTCTATGTATCTTCAAAAATAACAGTGATGTAATTGCCTGGGAAATTTGACTATTTAAAATATCAGCAGGCTGCAAACGAATGGCTCAAAATGTAACACAGTAGTTAAGTTAAATACTGAAATATATAAATTCCCATTGAGTTGTAATTTTTAGACATATGATGATGCAGAGCCAGTTAGTACTGATTAAATTATAGAGTGTGAATTATTACACACACACACACACACATATATATATATAGCTATGAAAGTGCCATAACCTTGGAATTAATGACCAGGATGATATCACACACTAAGCCAAAATTGGGTTTGCTGATTTTGGTGATGTGAGAACCAAGAGTGTAAGGTTTGTAAACCAGGATGTATGCTTAATGTGACTTCTTGTGATTAGTTCTGTAAGCCATGGTGAGGCAAATCACATGGTGTATGCACATGACCACTCTGTTAAAGATGTCTCATTTATGGAATTGCAGTTCACACACAATTCCATAAAACTGTGAAGTGATAAACCAGATCCCATCAGCCTGCTTTCCAGAACCACAGGAACAGAAAAACTGCATCACCTTCTAAGCCATTTGAATAAGCTAATAGGATCACACATGCTATCAGCTGCAGACAGCCTTTGAACCCTGGTTTTAGGCTTCCCTGAAATTTGTCGTGCCATTATATCTGAGAACAGCTGCTTTTTCCAGGGCGTATAAATAGGAATTTAAATCCATCACTAACAAGACACTACTGACCGAGGTATTGAGTGTATCACGCTCCATGTCTTAACACTGCTGATGAGAGTTAACAGTAGGGAAAGGCACAGAGCACAATGACACACCACAATAATCATCTCCATGCATGTTGTGATTTTTGCAGTGAATGTTTTTAAAAACCTACCCCATCAGGAACCCTCACTGAGCAGGATTTCTGATCACAGGGAAATTTCTAATCATGTTCACCCAGATGGGAAGAGAACCCCCTTCAGATCTTCATGTTAAATATTTGAAGGTTTTGAGATGGGACAGGCAGGGTCATTACAGAAGGTTACAGAATTTCCTTCTGTGCTCCTTTCACAGGTGAATGCATAAATCACAACGTAACATGTATCAAGTGCAGACATTTTTGCTCTTCTACTAGTATTTGTTCCATCACCAATAATTCAATCTGAAATTAGGGAGACCCCTCCTCCATTAGATCATGGAGCAGGATAATGAATTGGGATATATAAACTGACCTCTGACAATCACTTCTAGAGATATGAAACAAAAGCTACTTTGAACAACGTAGCTTTCCAATCAACGTGCAGATTCAACACATCTTCCACTTCAAATAACATCAGGTGATTTTCCAAGCCAATAAGTATATCCTCACCTTATAACCTCTTGACACTGAATAAGTTCATCAGCATTAAATGCCTGCCTGGTTTCTCTCTTATGTCATTACATCTTGAAGTCAATGGCATGTTAAGGAGCATCAAGAGAAGCACAGAGTCCAGGTCATGGGAAGTAATTATCCTGCTCTACTCTGCCTTGCTCAGGCCTCACTTGGAGTAGTTTGTTTAGTTCTGCACACCCCAGTTTAAAAAAGAGATTGATCAACTGGAGCAAGTCAAGAGAAGGGCTACCAAGATGTTGAAAGGTCTGGAAACCAAATCCTATGCGGAATGGTTAAAAGATCTAGGTATGTTTAGCTTGCAGAAGAGAAGGTTGGGAGGAGACATGATAGCTGTCTTCAAATATCTGAAGGGCTGTCACATTGTAGAGAGTTTGGATTTATTCTCCAGAGGATATGACTAGAACTAATGGGATGAAACTTCAAGGATGTAGATACAGATTAAACATAAGGAAGAACTTGACAGTAAATGCTGTCAGTCAGTGGAACAGGTTACCTTACAGAGTGCTTTTTCCCTTCACTGGAGGTTTTCAAACAGTGACCTATTGGGGATGGTGTCGTGAATCCTGCAGGGGGTTGGACTTGATGCCTTCTTCGGTCTTCCAACTCTATGATTCTATGATCTGCCTCATGCCCTTCATTGCTTGTCTACCTGAGCTTTAGGCAGTTTATGATTATGTTTATTGCCTCCAGTCTAGGCATCTTATCTACCAGATCTGGTGCCTGATCTCCATTCCATTAATAACCATGCCATTTGACCTCCTGACTCTTGCCTACCTGCGACTTGCCTACCCCTCCAACCATCTGCAGACTGTTTTAAGCAGGAGGTAGGAAATGCAGCAATGTGTAATATTTAGAAACCTGCATTGCTGTATGTCAGGTTCGGCCAGCACGGGGCTTCAGGGAAGCTCGCAGCCAGACCACGCGGAATCCACCGGCGGTAGCTAGGGGGGAAAAGAGGAACTGAAAGCGCCGCTAGTAAACGGGCCACCTGCACCCAGCCAAACCGGAAAACCCCAGCGGAAGCTTTTAACTATAACCTGATAACGGCACGAGCCAACAATGAACGGAGCCGCAGGCAGCGAAACAAGATCGCAACGCAGCACAGTACCCGC